CATCAGAGTTTCGACAGGTTACACATTAATTGTTCATTAGAGTTTCGACAGAGTTTCGACAGTCATTAAGAGGTTTCACCCACAACCTTAATCTTTGTACAAAGTAGGTTTCCGCCAAATTCCTTTATACAATAAACAAACACATTTCTAATTAATAAATCAGATGTATTTTATACTCTTTCGAGTTAGCAGGTGATCGGTAACAATAATACTAACCAAAATTAAAAAAATAAACAAAAAAAAAATTTTTTTTTAAAAAACAAGTTTATAGAGCATGCATAGTTATGATGTTAGCCAAAAATTAAAAAGTATTTATTTATTTATTTAACATAATATTATTAAAGTATACTTTTGTAATTAAAGCACAAAATTCATCTGATGGCTTAATTCTAAGGTTCCTGGTCTAATATACCTACCTCTATATAAAAAACGTTGAAAAACCCAAATCGACAAAATAGTTTGAGCTTTGAGAAACAGTTTGGACTAGAAACCTTACTTGATTGTCAGACCCATTTAATCGTACGATTTTAATAATAGCAAAAACTAATTTCGATTTAATGATTTAGCGTAACATACGCATTGCACTGTTTAGTATCTACTACTACCATTTAATTTATTTATTATTAGTATAATTTTCGGTAAAATGAACTGTCGGTAAAATGAACTGTCGGTAAAATGAACTGTCGGTAAAATGAACTGTCGGTAAAATGAACTGTCGGTAAAGTGAACTGTCGGTAAAATGAACTGTCGGTAAAATGAACTGTCGGTAAAATAAACTGTCGGTAAAGTAATTGTCGGTAAAGTAATTGTCGGTAAAGTAATTGTCGGTAAAGTAATTGTCGGTAAAATGAACTGTCGGTAAAATGAACTGTCGGTAAAATGAACTGTCGGTAAAATGAACTTTCGGTAAAATGATTGTCGGTAAAATAATACGTCGGTAAAGTGATTGTCGGTAAAGTGAATGCCTCCCAGTGAATACATCTCTGATATTTCTATTATAGAAATTGCCAAGTCGTGTCAAAAGTTAAAATATATCAAAATAGGTGGTGCCCACATTACTGATATCTCATTAAAAGAAATCGCTCATCTGTGTTCGAACCTTCAACATATCCACTTGATCGATTGTGAAAAAGTGACGGATTATGGAATTAGCATTATAGCCACCTCATATCCAAATATGCTTAGTTTTTCTTTTACAAATGGAAACGGTTTATATGATAAATTTAATAATGAGGGTATTTCCGATGTTTCTGTTAAAAAAATCGCTCAGTGTTGTCCCGATCTCCAATATCTTAATGCTAGTTGGAATTGTATATCCGATGATTCCATTTGTATAATAGTGCGATCATGCCCAAATCTTGAACAACTTTATCTTGAAGGTTGCAATATTACCGATATAACTATGACTGCATTAGCAAATTTATGTAATCTCCAGAAGCTCGATATTGAGGAATGCGACAGAATTAGTATCAATGCAATTATAACATTGCAAAATAAAAATCCTGCTCTTGATATTGTCGGTTGGTATCCAGATACGAATAGTGAGTCAGGTATATCGTTATAAAAAATTGTATAAATCTCTGACACATATATAACAATAAAGATCATTATTTTTCAGGTATAATAATTAGTGACTTAGCTTGATCAAGATGGAAATCGAAAAACTTGAATCAAAATCAGATAATTCGTCAGAATAAAAAAACATAATATATATATTTATAACGAAAAGATGTTATATTGTGTATTTGCCGTGGATGAGGTAAAACCTTCGAAAAAATACCAGGGAGATAAAGATGCACCAGCGTGGCCTTTTCGTATCGTAATGGCAGGGGCTAGCAATTCAGGTAAGACCAATATGAATTTAAACTTGCTAACAATGCCCAAATTTTATTACATGTTTAAGAAGAGAAAGTGTTCTAAGATAGGGGAACGTAATGTTAAATGCAATGATGTAGTTCTTTTCGGACATCATTTAAATGAGCCAAAATATAAAATAGTTCGAGATTTTATAAATACCTTGCCCAAGACAAATCAAAGCCCTATTATGAAGATGTCACATTTTCTACACTCTCTCCTGATAAAATCCCAGATCCCAAAAAGTTTAATGCTAAAAGAAGTACATTAGCGATATTTGAAGATCTTTACTCCGACCCTCCAGCTATACAGAAAAAAATTATTCCATTTTTCACCCGAGGTCGTCATGAGAATATTTCCTCAATTTATGTTGCTCAGAAATTCCACAAAATCCCAATAGATATTCGTGAAAATGCCACTCACATTGTTCTCTTTAATGGTGGGGGCTCTATTCGAAAACTTGCAGATATTATAAGTCCTTACACTGATGTAGATCCACGAAAAGCTTCAAAAATTATTGACGGTTATTTGAGACAAAAAGAGTTTATAGTTATAGATCTGAATAAACCAAGATCTGAGTCTTTCTCACTTCGATGGGACACCCCTCTTGATCTGGAAAAGGAAATCGAGGGATTAAAAGATAATAAACATTCTGCCTAACCTGAGCGTGATTTCAGATATTTTAGGAATTTTTCTGCCTCTTGCAATTCTATCTTCTTTTCTTCAACCTCACATCGTAACTTCTTATTTTCATTAACCTGCTTTTCATGCTCTATAGTAATTTCTCGCATAAATTTACCAAAAGTTTCTTCATTATATTCAAGTAATCGTCGACATAAAATATCTAATTCTTTCTTAACACGACGATTGATTTCTTCCTCACATGCGAAGCAAGGACACTTACGTGCCTGATTACAGGTGCAGATCGGATTAATATTCTGGGTTTGGGTTTCTTGATTAGTCATATCTATATATGTCTTGACACTAGCCAAAGGGGACGATCCAGATCACCTCGCAGAGTATCTAATGATAGTAGGAGGAACATTAATATTAATCAGTCTAATCAAGGCTTTGAAATAGATATACAAAACATGGGTTCTCGTATACCAGTTCTCGCTGAAAATATTTCGGACAATAGTAATATTGAGAATAATGTTCAAGAAGATAATGATAGATAAAATTAATAAAAAAATATTATTTAACCCTGATATTCTATCTGCATAATTAATCAGATAACGATATGTTGTACGCTGTATAGTAAAAATTATTTTTAGATTAAAATTTGTATGAACCTGATCATAATAATAATACGTGATTAACCAAATTCGATTAATTACCTTTAACGAATATAATAATTATATAATTTCACTTATCTCATAAAGAATTCCTCTGCAATTGTAACTTTTTTTTCTTCGATTTCATATAAAAAAGATGTCTAAGTTTAATATAAGCAATCAATCAAATAATTATTTATTTTTTCCGTTATTTATTAATACAATAATATAGTATACATCTTATTAGCCACTTCTATTGAGAAGCTGATCATCTCCAGCCGATGTGAAATTTAAGTGGATGTATAATAATAACAAGCAGGATCTATTATCTATACTAGGGATTTTTGTGACCCATAAAACAGGTCGATATATAAAATTAAAGTAAAAAAAGCTATTAATCATCACGAAATAGCAGTGAATAAAAGTCTAAAGTACCAGCCCT